TGTAATAATTCTTTAGTATATTACTTGTGTGGTGTAGACGATAATTATTTAAGAATGTAATTATGTAAGAATGTTAACACTGATATAAGTGTGACCGTATATTACTTGTGTGGTGTAGAAGAGAATTATTTATGTGAAGATATTGCTTGCAAACCAATGATGGTAAGATGATGTCATGGGGTAGGACTGGATAAGTCTGACTTCTTCCTACTCCATTCAAGCATGTACTAGGTATAAGCAAATTGATATTGGATTAGCATTTGTTGGATATGTGTAAAATTATGTGTGTTGTCATATCAACTGTCTTTACATGCTTGAAAGAATAAATCAAATCAAATCAAATCAAATATCTGAAGAGCTGGGTGGAGCGTGGCAGGGCATAGCAGATCGTAGCAGAGCATCGTGGAGCAGGGAGAGGGAGTGCTGGGTGGAGCAGAGTGGGTTGATTCTGAGTTTCATGTTAGTGCTACCTTAAGTTACATATTGTAGTTTTAAGTTACTGCCACTGACCTGCACTGCCATATAACTAATGTTAAAGCTGCTCTGCCTAATTTCTTTGCAGCCTACTGGGTCCGGTGAGACTCAAAACAAACTGACACCATAACTCGCTCCTGACCCCTCTTCCTAGCCCCTGATAATGGGTCATGTCCCGTTTCCTGACAAGTTGTAAACTATAAATGCCTGATTGGAACAAACTTTACAAAATGCAGCCTCCAGTCAGAAGCTAGCATTAGCTGACTGACGAGTAACGTTAGTTAATGGTAATGTACATAGTCACACCTGTGCTTTTCCTGCTAAAAGTCTAAATATCTGCTATGGTCACACTGCTCTGTTCTGACCAACAGATTTTAGACCAACGAAAGAGACAAACCAAGCCTTTTGACTCATAGTTCTCTATGGCCTAAATCCATCTGCAACAAAAGCTTAAAATAAAAGCAAGATAATTAGTTGGATCAAACATTTACAACTGACATTATTACTAAGTAGGCTACAGCAACCTGTGGCCCTCCTTCCCACCAGGCACTTTGACTTGTCATGACAGAAACCTACAGGTGTTATTAATAGCACTGATGATGTTTCTGTTCTGTTCTAATGTCCCAGTAACATGTGACAGTGAGAGCACACACGCTACCAGGGCCCTGAAACTGAAGCAGCTAATCTTAATCAGCCATTATTCATTTTGTGATTTACATCAGTGCTTTTTCTTCAGTGACATGTCAAAATGTCTTTGTGAAAACTGAGTACTGGCATACCATTATTTCAATACAACTCCACCACAAACCATTTATACAACGAGCAATACCACAACAAACTGTATCATGACACCAATATCCATATCCACTGCGGTTAGTCCAGTGTATACATATCCTAATTTTGGGACTGAGTGGGTCAGCAGTCAGGATCTGAAATAGCTGGCAGGCCCTACTGCTCCAGCATCCCTAAGTGTCAAGAGCAGTAGTTTTTAATTAGTCTGGGTCCCAGGGTGACAGACTACATTTATCACTTGGGTCCCAAGCCTAAAATGTTTAAACACCCCTCATGTGTGGGGAGATAAAGTCAATGCAATGTCAAGTGTAGCCTATTTCTGATAGCCCTGCTCCAAACTACAGAGTGTTTTCCAATAAGTTTAGTGATGCTCATCTCACTTTTGTAATGAAACCATTTTCTATTGAGCAATTTTACAGCGATAGCCATAGTAAAATGCTAGCATAAAGTGAAGCTGCACTGGTTTGATTTATTTTATATTTTTTGCTTTTAAGGTCTGTAATGACACAGAACCGATGTTCATAGATGAAAGGGTAAAGGCAAGAGAAAAAATATGGTTCAGAAGGCATTTAAACAAACAGGTTTTTGTTCCTCTTGTGAGTAATTTGATGCTTACAGGTAAAGTTTGTACCCCAGGGGGTGAATAAGTTGCTTTCAAAATGAAATATTTACCAGAACTGGGGAGGAAAACAGTAAATAGCATCTAAAAGGAAAAGAACTGGAAGAACATTATACTGTATTTTAATTGATAATAATACAATTTGCACGCTAGCAGCTAGTTTTCTTAGGAGAACTTTATTTTTATTTATTTGTAAGCTGTATTTCTTTTTTTGTTTTAAAGAAGCTGCTACTTGAGCCAGAAAACACCTGAGCTGACACGTCCTCAAACTGAAAACACATAATTTTTAAAACTGTCCGTGCAAAGGCTCCCCAGTGATGGGCTCTTCCAAAACCATTAAACTGTATTCTCATCTGCCTTTGCTATAGTTAGAGTTCGATGGGTTTACTTGATTAGTAAAAGATACTGGTTAAAAGAAACCAACATGTCTGTGGACTTTGTTCAGATAGTTTTATAGCAACATGTTTCCTGGATTCCCAACACTAATCAAAATGAGTGATGCTGGTGTTTTTCTTGGGAAGGTTGGCTAAGCACACCGTTCAAAATACCTCTGTACATATCATTTTTCACCTTGCTGGGAGTTTTCAGCTCATTGAAAGTTGAATTTGTGAGTTGCACCCTGACATACACATCCTCTTCTACACAGGCTTATAATGACCTGACTTCGTTCCTGCCTGTCCCATTCTCCTCTCAGTCACCTTGATATCCACAGACTCTTTACAGGTTGGGTTAATCCTTTCTTGCTGACGTTCCCCTTGGATTTCGCTTGAAAGGGCTACCTGTTGTCTGTCTGTTTCCCAATTATAGTTTTCTCCTGAGTAAGCCTACATTAGGTGACTCATCAGGAACAGCTGTCTGCCAGAGCTGGCTGGAACACAGCGTGTTACTTCAGCATCAGTGTATATTTCAGGCTGAGAGGGAGGGGGAGCAAGGCCATAAACTTAATGGCTTGGTTCACTCAATAAAAGTGCGATTTGTATGACTTGGAAGCTGCTCAAAATGTAACATACTCAAAGAGTGGTGCTGCTGGGGTTTGTTCTTGTCAGGACTGAATTATGTAGAAAGAAAGCAGAGGAAAACAGTCTGGACGAGAACTTTGTAGGGCCTGTACTTCTTACAGAAACTGCTTTAGGGTTGGCATTACATGCTAAGAAATTAATGTGTGTAAGACATTAATTTGTGTATATAACAAAAGTGAGTACAGCCCTGGTCAATATCAATAAAATGTTCAGTAGCTACAAAATCCTGCCTATTTAAGATGACTGAATTTAGCTCAGGCCAAGAATAATGAAGCCAGTTCATTTGAAAAATGGCAGTGTTTGACAACTCTAATTCAAATTTCATATTTAAGAACCAACTGCAACAAAAGTGAGTTTTCTCAGTATTTTGGCTGCTGTCATTTTTGATGACAGAATTGATCCTCCAGGTGTGGATGACAGCAGTGTTGCACAAATCTGTGGACAGATGTTCTGCTGTTCTTCAGGTGATTTTTTTCAGGAGGAGGGGTTTTGTTGCTATAGCTTCAGCTTTAAAATACTCCAGAGATGTTCTGTTGGATCTAAGTCAGGTGATCACCAGGTCATAGAATCCTCTCGTGTGATGTTTGCAGTGTGTTTTTGATCATCGCCATGTTGGAGAATTCCTGTCCAGTCAAGCTTCCTGAGACTTCCTGAGACTCTTTTAATTCTGTATTTGGACATGCAAACGTGCATTCCATCTCTAAATATCATTCCCCAGTAGCTACTGATGCTCTTGTACCCTCTCAGATCTTTAGAGTCTCACAGTCTGGGTCAGCAGTTCCTACCATGTGGAGCCATGTTGCATTGGAAAACTGTGGTGTTGACACTTTCTTTTGAAACTGATTGTTCCACATAAGAGCAAATACCCTACAGTTCAGTGGCTCCAGTGGTGCAATCAGTCAGCGTGCAGTACTTATGAGACAGTAACATGCAGAGTGATGCTGAGGTTGTGAGTTTGAACCTCACCTGGAGCAGTGAAGTTTTAGAGGGATGCGACAGTGCGGTGGGTAGAGCAGTCATTTCCCAACCAGGAAGTTGAAGGTTTGAATCTCGGTGCTTGCAGTCCACATGTGGAAGTGTCCTTGGGCAAGACACTGAACCCCCATGTTGGTTAGAGCCATTGGTTGAGTTGGCGCCTCAGATGGCTACCTCAGTCCTGTACCGGAAACAAATTCCTTGTGTGTAACATACTTGGCCAATAAAGGTGATTATTATTATCCCTTATCAATACAGTTGTTGTAAGACAGTACAACTTGAATCATTAAACAGTTACTGCACAGAGCTGTACTCAATTTGTTGTACACTGTATATGCATATGTGCACCTATGTGTTTATGTCTCAGAAATGTTATGTTGTTAGTGTAGCAGACGAATATGCAGTGTGAACATTCTCAAAACCTTACAGTGCATATTATTTTATTTCGGGGGGTTAATGCCCACTTCTATTGTTGAGATCTCCATGTAATGCATTCAGTTCTTTGTTTCATGTCATATTGTTCAATATTTTTGCATAGATGTGTTGCCTTGAATGGCTTTGTTGGTCAGGAGCTTTTATTTTGAAGGCCATTGCCCCGTTATTTTGTTTCCTGTTTCTTCGCGGCCCTCCTCAGCTACTGTGGAAACCTGAGGAGAGATGTGAAGAGAGACCTGACAGATGGATGTACTGATTTAGTTGTGTTTCACACAGAGAATAAACGCTCCTGTGGATGGCAAACCCCTGTCTACGATTCGTCACTAAAGACACAACGCAGAGATTTAACTTGATGGCCGCGTAGAGATGAGACCAGCTACATTAGGTGTAGGCAGAGGTGAAGATGGCATCAGGCTCCTGTGTTAACTGAGTCTGTTTGCCCCTCCACTTTGTGGTGTTTGTTAGTAAAACATGATCCAGAACATTCGGGAAAACAGCCTGTTGGGACATTTTGCAACCATTTCAGAGTAAACTGACACTGAAAGGAAATAAAGTCACACTGTTCAGAGCTCCATAGAAAACAGGGTGAAACTGAAACATCTGTGAGATGTTTGAAAGGCAGACAGGGAAATGTTCAAAACCAACAGAATTAACCTAATTATTCTGACCACAAAGCCAATACAAACACTCAAGGCTATCATCTGACAGATTCATCATAAGGTGCTTTTTGTACATAAGTTTATGGAAGGGAATCCCCCACTTTTTCCACCGGGTTTTACATTCGCACAGAGACTCAAACTGCAGCTCACTGGTGTCCACATATAGTGCTCAGTGTTCACACTCTGCTTGTGTGAAGAATGACAGATGTCTGAAGGTAAGACATTCCTTTTATCAGCTATCAATAATGCTCTTAATCTTCACTGAACCTGCAAGACTGCACATTAAAGAAATTCCTGTCTAGATCTGCACAGACATTGATTCATCCTTGCATGTTTGACTGTTGTTCCAACCTGCTCAGTCTGGCTCTCCTGCCTGCTGAATGACATTTAGATGTTTAGAAATGGATATTTAAAAAAAAGATGCACTCTTTGCAGGCCTCTTGAGGTTACTCATGCTTCATGCATTCCTATTATTTACAACCCTTTTAAATGACTTCCAATCTGTCAGTTTAAAATATAAATGTCCTAATTATTTATTTCCATGCAAAGATAATAGGATTTGGCAAATATGTTTTGTTACTATTTTTTTATTTGTTCTTTAAAGCTACTATACCTGTTTTCTTTGCAGCCTAGAGGGTCTAGTGAGACTCAAAACAAACTGACACTGAAACTGCCCATCCCATCACGTCCTGTTTTCTAGCAACTATGGATGCCTGGTTGGGGAAAACTGTACAAAATGCAGCCTTCAGTCTGAAGCTAGATTTTGGTAAGCAACAGTAAATTTGTAACTGAGAGACACCGTGTCCTGTCCCACTATCACTGGGTTTATCAGACACTGTAGGAAATCTGAGTTAATGCATCTTTAAGAACTGAATTCAGTTTGAGTTCACAGCAAACCCCACTGTTATAATAATGGTCTTAAGACATTTTGACAGTGATTTGAAGTAAAATCTGTTTTTACACTGCTGTTGAAACAAAAGCAGTGACAGAGCAGTGATCTGCTTTCTCTGTCTGTCTCACTTCATGTTGGTATGCTTTCCTTTGGATCCCTCTGCATATCAATGACTTCATGTCAAAACAAGCCCCAAATCCCCCATTCTAGAGTGTGTGTGTGTGTGTGTGTGTGTCTGTGTGAGGGAGACTTTCAGGGGTTTGTGCTTATATCTGTGCAGTGAGAAAAAAAGGCAATTGTGTGTTTCTGCACTTCTGCAAGCCTGAATGATTATGCATAAACCTCGTTATATAGATTGAAGGTTGACGTCCAGTGTTTCTCTCTGGTCATATTCCTGAGAGAGAGAGATGTTGCTCAGGTGAGAAGAAGGCAAAAAAACAAGTATGTGACCATGCCTGTGTGCATGTCAGAGATGCAACTACCTGCTGTCATGGAGTGTCATGTATCACTAGATAATGTGCACATGTTAATGTCCTTAATCCCTTAAAGTGTTCTTTACTAAAAGCAAAATAATCTGACAGTGCAGTAAAATTATTTCAGCCTATTTTAAATGTAATGTCAAGTATTCCTATACAGTTATAAGTTACATTTTTACATAGTTCTTGTGCAACAACCCACCTCTTTCTGTCTTGTTTCAAGGTCCAACTGTTCCTCCTTAAAGGATATTTGAAATAAACTGGTACAAATTTAATAAAGCATTCTTATTTTTTCACATGTTTAAGAAAATTACGTTTAGGTTGTACTTGAGATAGTGTTTTTTTTTTTTCAGGTTAATGTATCCAACAGCATAGGTCTATAGAAATGTACAATTTTTCTCTGCCTCAACCAACTAGAGTATAATAGCATCAGTAAACAACAGTGATAATAATATCAAAGCAACCTTTCTTTCTGCATAATGAATAATTTTCTAATTCTACTTAAATAAACTATTTTTTTTTAAGCAGAGGGTCTGGGCGTTTCTTCCACCCCTGGCTGTTGTAGCTATCAGCTATTCCACTATGTGGCGCTGTGTAAAACAGGCTGAGCTACAAAACCACTTCCGGGACCAGCTTGGAAGACGGGAAGTTGCTTTCACTGACTCGGCCAAGGAAGAGCAAGATGTCGGCAGTAGACGTGGAGGATTTTATTCAGCAAAACAGAGCTGTGGCCGATCAGGTGGAAACGTTTCGGGGGTACTGGGAAAGTGACAAACACTGGCAGGCCAGGAAAGAGTTCATCTTGCGCAACATTAGCGAATACGATAATCAGCAGCTGGATCAGCTACTCTCTTTATCCATGGTCTGGGCCAACAACGTTTTCCTCGGGTGTCGGTGCGTATTCTTATGATGTTAACAATTCAATATCAACGCGTCTTTCATCACACAAATCTCTGTGGTTTATTTTTCTACGCTGGACGATATAAAACTATCCAGAGTTGTTAAAGCGTCCCCATTCCAGGATGTTTACTACTGCTGCTGAGCGCTTGACTTTAATGATGTCGTTTAAGTTTACCCTAGATATATTTACCAAACTTGTCAGTTAGTCCACACAACTGAATAATTTTGTCTGCTAAAAGGTAAGCATACTGTTTGCTTACGTTATTATCAAACTACTTATGATAAATAACTTACCTTTGTGTGGCTTTAATAAAATATTCTTCTTCGTGTCGTGCTCTCAACTTGTCACAAGCTCACTGCTGCCCCCTGTGTTACTGCACTGATAATATTTGTCTTAACTAATGGCAGGTATAGCACAGAGCTCCTGGCGAAAGTAACGGAAATGGCTGAAGGCATTGTGGTGGAGGATGCACCAGTCTTCAAGACAAGAGATGAGATTGTTAAGAAGCAACAGGTACGTCTATAGAAACACACAGGCATAGATGTGTTGGCAAAGAAAAGTCTTCAGGTGTTCTGCTCTTCTATCACAGGGTCGATGACTGGCTCCATTGTGCCATCTCTCTTGGTTGTACTGGATCAAGACCATTGGACTCGGCTGTTATGTCCACAGGCTGTGCTTGAAATGTTGTCAGACCACATTTCTTTGGTATTTTATGGTTTATGACAGATGTAATAACACCTAAACATTTTTTTATGAAAAGCTAACAGACTGGGTTGCTCAGATTTTTAACACATTAAATGTACAAACAAATGTTTTTTGGCAGTGTAGGAGCTTCACTGTTTGTCCATCTCTGATTGTTTTACCTTTGTTTACTCACTGTTTTAAGTGCAGTTTTTAAAAACAAATTCAGATGTAATATGACACTGGATCTTGTCCTAAATATCATGTACGAGGAGCAATAAGACTTGTTTTCTTCTCCTGGAATTGTATTTTGTCTTGTTTCCCTAAGGAATGGGTTGTAATTAAGCACTGTATCGGATACACTATGAGTAAACAGTTTAGGGACTAACTTTTTTCTTGCCATCAGGCTCACTAATTTTAAGCAAATAGTAATTAAAAGTAGAAAAAGCTGTGGGTCAGAAACTGGCTTCAAAAGAGGTAAAACTGGATATCACAACACAATTTACAGCAGATAAAAATGAAAACCTTTTACAGTGTCATTATTAGGCTGCATTTTCTAATATAACAAATTCTGATTATGAATCATTTAAGCTATAAACTAAACAAAATTGTACATGTTCTCATTTTTAAAGTTGTAGTGATTTTTGTAGCCTGAAGGAACATGTGATGACAACCACATGAAACACAACAGTTATATTTAACAGTACTGTCGATGTGGAAGGGTTGAACTTTATCTTCTAATTACTCACTGTTTCACCCAGCATAGTGAATGATGTGTTTTTGGAGCTATTGAAGGACCAAAATGGACAAACAGCAAAAATAATTTGACAAAACCTGTTTCAAAGTCTGAAAAATGTGTTTTATGTTTATACAGCATAGTGTTATAAGTATACATTTTTTAATTCACAAAATTTTATAACCTATTCCTTCTGCGTAGTAGGTGAAATAATTCACTTGCCACACTGTGACCTTTATTGTTTCAGGAGAAACTGTTTTATGACTCTCCTATTGGTTAATCAGTTGAAGCTGGGCAGGGTTAAGTCATAAATTTATACTCAAGTGCTCTTTTAAACTGGATATCACACACAAATCAGACAAATGCAGGCATGAAAACAACTTAAGCTTTTGGGAGAGCAGTTGACCTCACACTGTTAAACCAGGGTTTAAACTGCACGACTGTAGTCTTCTCTGCAGCAGGTGGCTCTGTCAATCCTCTAATCAACAGCAAAAATGTATCCACTGGGCAGCACTGCTTGCCTGGGGCCAGAAGCACTTACACTTCATTCAAGGCTGATGCATCACAGGTAACAAAGCATTTGTAAGTCATTTACTTTCATGGCAGATTAAATAAACTCTGAGCTGTCAGGAACAGCTGAAAACAAAACTAGTTTGTTGTGTTTACCCTCTATTCTCCAAGATGATCAACTATGACAATACATCTCATTAAAACAAACAGCAAAGAACATGATGCAGAAGTACATGCAACATTTCTTGTATCAAGGTCATGCCGATTCTTGTCTGTAACTTTCACAGACTTACTTTCTGTCATTCCAGCTCTGTTGGCCGTGAGTGAACCATGGTGAAAACAATATTCACTGTTCAAGGAAATCATAAAGTACAAGAACTGTGGAATTTCCTGGCTCGGGCTCCTAACGCTTAAAGAACAACACTGTGGGACAAATACAACTGTGACAAGACTAAAAAAAAAAATGTTGATTGAAAGGAATTTGGTGTTTCCCACATCAACCAACCCTGTTATCCGTACTTATCTTGTCCCATCTAAGTGTTAAGATTTACTTTAACATATTTCATTTACCCTGGAGCAGAAATGATTCAGGCTGGCTAAGCCAAGGAGTCATAATTCATCAGTGCCAGGGAGCCTTGGCACCGTTGCAGCCTGTGACGTGTGTGAGTCCAAACCTACAGTATCCTAAAATAACAGCTATGCTGGAACAGATCAGGAATTGTTCTTTATCTGCTGCAGCTGAAGAATAACAATGATACTCACTCCGAGGAGGAGTTTTTCTGGGTTCTTCCATCTCTGTTAAAATGTGGTCATCAAACTGCCATTTCCAAACAGCCAAGCTGTGCACACCAGCAGAAGTTACAAAAAAAGAAAATGTTCAAAGAAAATCTGTAAAACGCAAACACTAACAGCATCAATCCAACCAAACAACAGATATTTTACAGATTCTGTTAGCAATAACTTATTTCACATCATGCAATAACATAAGTAAAATTAAGGACAAGAAACAGATAGAAGGTGGATTTCCCTCCCTCATTTTCCTCAGGTGTTGGCAAGCAGGCTAATGTCCATTCTGGTTGGTTGGTTCTCTGGATCTTTTTTTTCAGGGTGGCACTTGAGTTCTTCTGATATAGTTGCTGTTTTATTTCTTGATGAGGTAACAATGAGAGGCTGAAGTAGCAGGATGATGAAGAGAGGGTGATGGAAATGAAGGAGTAGGGAGTGAGAGAAGCTCAGACGTCCACCCAGCTCTGCTCCACGATGGCGGTCACCCTCTTCTCGTACTCCCTCTTGTTTTCTTGATAGAGCTGTGCGGCCTGACTGTTGGCTGGGCTGTTGGGGTTTGGCTCGTCCAGCAAAGACTGTGGAAAGTAAAAGTGTGACGAAAATATCCATTTGTCCTACAACTTACCATCATTAAATAAGCAGGACAGATTCTCCAATCACTTGGTCTACAAATGTGGATGGCATAAGGATTGATGTACAGTACGTTAGGTTGTCTCAGCTACTGTGAGCTGTTAGGAAAGAACTTTAGAACGAGTTCACATTAGAATGACATGTACCAAATTATAGCCAATACCCTGTGTACTGCAGTTCTTTTATACATGGCATTAATTTTAAGTGTACTTTGTGTAGTGGCAGTGAAAGCAACCAACCTGGATGGAGGTGAGTATGGACGACACATCATATGTGGGGCTCCAGCGATTCTGAAGGATGTCTAAACATATACTGCCATCAGCGTAAACTGGAAAACACACACAACACATTCAAGATGCAGCACCACAGCACAAATTGTCTCAGAGCAATCTCTACATTCAGTAAAGACAAAATGTTCATCATTTGTGGAAGAGAAGCTCTTTTAACAGATGGTGAAGATGACTCCAGGAGACCTTTATCATTTCTTAATGATGTCACACTGTGGACGACTACAAGTAACAAAAAGAGCAGATGGCCTGACAGAACTGGGAAAAACAACACAAACTACCCACAGCTCAAATTAAAGGCATGCAGCCCAATGAGCCTGCAACCCTCACACAAAAGGTGCACATCTGGACCTCTCTGATTTGACCTATTTTAATCCATTTCATTATGAACTGGGAAATAAGAAGAATGGGATGAAGGTGTTTGAATGAGGAGGACAAGAAGAAACCTTGAGATACTGGAGCCACAAACTGTGCAAAAGAAACAAGCCTGTTTTACTTCATATGATTATGAATAAAGTGAATAATAAAGCAGATCTTATTTACAAATGCGTGGTTTTAATCAGTGAAAATGAGTATGTCTGCAAGTGCGGCTGCAGCTGGAACACTTACCATTTGGGTGAAACATTCTGGAGACAAATCGAACCGTGGGAGGCTTGTTTGGGTACTCCTCTGAAAACTCTATCAGCAGCTTAAATGTTCCTACAGAGAGAAAATGAGAGGGTGTTGAGGGGTGCACACAAATAATTCGGTGAGAATACAGATATGAATAATAATAAAGGAGGTCAGAGAGAGCAAGAGAAACAACTGTGTTAAAAAAAACTGACACTGACTTGACAGGAAAAAGTAGCTACTCCTTCACTGAGGCAGAGACGACAGTTCTGCAGGCTGAAAGGAGGGAACTGACTCACAAAGGAAAACAATAAACCCAGAGTCAGCGCTTCTCACGCCTGACCCCAGTCATAATTACATGCAGAAAAGTGTGTGTATGTGCAAAGATGTGTGTTTCCTGTGCTTCAGGTTTGTTACCATCTGAGCACATCTAATGAATGTTCAGCTGCTCAGCTACTGGCATTTTTGTCAGCTATTTATTTAACGAAGCAATAAAATATAATTGGTTGACACAGGTCAATCCCCGAGAGGTCATATAAACACAGTAAGTAAACCGTAATATATTTTAAATACACATTTCTGCTGTTCAAGAATTTGGAGCAAGAGTAGGAAGAGTTTGGTCTAAGGCTGCATTCTCTGTCACAGTATTACAAACCTCTGCACATGTAAACATCTGATGAGCTTTCTAACTCATGGATCTGTGAGGCGACGTTCACATAACTTCCAATCTTCATGTTAGATCTGATCTTATTGCGTTACCTAAATAGTTTGAAAGCTATTCAAGAAAAATGTACTACAAATCTAAGTCATTTAAAACCCTTTGCAGAATTTTAAACACCCCAGATATCTCTATATTTTATCTCTATAATTTTTCAGAGAATATACGTTCATCAGTGCGGGGATATTCTGACTGACTTTGACTGCTTGTGTGTGTAGCCCATCATCACTTTCAGTCATTTGGCTTCCATATTTTCACAACACACTGTCCAGAGAGTTGTAACAGATGGATCTAATGATGCAACTCTACAACAGTAACAGTGCAGGGGGATGTTAAATCAACCCCTGAGCTTGGAAACGTGTGTTCCCACACAGGTAAAAGTAAACCACAATGGAAAACTTACCATCTTCAAATGGTGTTCCAACAGGCCTACAGAAGGCAGAGGGAGAGAGAAGAAGTCAATCATTTCCAAATTCCAAAAATCCCCTCTGTCACCACTAAGGACTCGGCTGGCAGATAACAGCACCGTTTATACTGCAAGGGCTTGCTCGGCACAGCCACCTGAGTGTTTACTTACTCAGCTCTTCACATTCACACTGTCAGTGTGACAGGACCGATAAAACAGCTGCTTTCAGACTGGACTGTTCTGGCAGTTTCACCTTGACTTTGATTGAACTAAGGAGCTATAAGTGAATCTAGTTCTATTTCAAACCCAGCTGTTATTCTTGGGTTTGTTTTAATTACACCTTTGTTACTGTTAAATCTCCTGTTATGGTTCAGTGTCAGGTATCAGCTCTGATATTTGAATACAATATCACTTTTACTTCTCATGCCTTTTTACACTACCTGTTCAAGCTGGGATTATCACACCAATTTTCTGCCATGCTGTTCTGTATAAAAGGAACTAAGCCAGCATGTGTGTGTGGGTGAACTGGTCAGTGCTGACCTCATTTATAGTAAAATTGACATTCATTCCACCTAGGCCTCTGTGGGGTAGAGGAGACTTGTGGGGTTGTGAGTGCAGGCGTGTGATGTTTTGATGAAGTGTTATTTCTGCGCCATCCTGCTGGGGATTTAAATGTTAATGTTGCTAAAAAGAAATAGAATCCATAACCATAATCATTAACATGCTGTACACTATGCACAAAAACCGAGTCTGAGCCGTGTTGTAAATGTGCAGGACGAGCAGAAGCACATCCCTGCTCTGTTCTTCTGCCACTGTTGATTTGAAAGCAACAATGTTACCAGCATGCTTCGTATGTCTGTGTGTTACATGCATGGTTCTATCCAACGCTGGACATCACGTTAAATGTCCTGCCTCTGATACTGGGACGCTAGTATCTGTGTATAAAGAACACAGATGCTGTACTATGCCAGCTTTTTAGGTTGAGTGTAAATATGCAAAGCCACCATAAGGAAGGATCAGTTTAACACTAGTACGTCACTATCTGTGTACAGGAGGCTTCAGATTAAAAAAAGTTCCTTCTTGCTTTATTCATGATTAAGTCTCCTTTCAATTACACTTTAAATTATGCACAGTAAACAGGTCTTAGAAAAGTAACTCTTCTGTCTCAGTTTTTATCTGTTCTTCTCTCTTGACTTCCTTCCCCATCAGTGGCTCTCAGCCCTTACTTCCATCAAACACCTGCTGAGCCTCTACCTGCTGATTTTCCAGACTGTTCTGTGCCACAATCAGGGTTGTAATCAGAAATTATTTTTAAAAAGCAAGAGGAGGAGGAGAACAAGAACGCGTCACGGTGTGTGTGTGTGTGTCTGTGTGTGGAATCTGTGCATCACAATCACAGAGGCACAGTAAATACAGCAGGGCGGAGTTGGATTTGGAGCATGACTCACCCAAAAATAACAGCATTCCAAAGCATGATGTTGTTCTCTGATGGTGCTCCGCTCACACCGGTGGGAGGATCTTCTTGAAGTCTGGGTAAGACATAAAGAAAGAGAAATGGTGAGAAGGAGATGTGGAAAACAAACAACAAGAAAGAGATGGATGGGACAAAAAAATGAGCAGCAAGC